GCGTCGCGCTCGTGCCGCCACAGCGGTGTGCCACTCAGCCTGTTCGCTGGTTGATTTCTAGGCTGATAAGTTTGGCTGGTACTGATTGGTTGTAAGAGAGAAATATTGTACCATGGCTGATAAGCTCTGGCTGAAACCAACGAGCGAACAGGCTAATTGTCGGCGAGTCGGCATCTCAGCGAGAATAGAAACACTAAGATAGGGCAACTGGGCGAGAGTACCAAGCGCCGCAAAGACAAAATGTTGCTGCCTCCTAGCTCCTGCGCTCACGAGAATATGAAGAGGTACGGCACCCCAGCAACTGTGAAGATGGCTGATGTTTGTTGGGCCTTTAAAGTCTAATGCCAAATATATATCTACTAACTAACTATATGCTCTTCGGGCCCCAGCTCCATGGGCCCCCAACGGTCGCACCGGTTGCCCCTCCCCTAGAACCGGGCCTGTGTACATATTTATAGAAGTTTTCTATTGGGCAGTTCCAAAGACTCGTAGGAGAGCCCCGCTCTATGAGTAGAAAGTAAAAATGAAGTTTTAACTTTATGGGTGAACAGTGCACATATTCATAGAAGTTTTATAGGGCAGTTCCAAAGGCTCATGGGAGAGCCCCGGTCCCACCAATTATATGATTCAATTTTCGATTCGTTTTGCACAAGTACATCCATTGGGATCCGACCCCATGACCTCTCGCCTCATGCATACCAGATACCACCACACGTCACAAACACTTGTGACTACATATATGGTGATATCCTTTTATACTGATGCCTACAAATCTTATATAACTAATATTTTCTTGTAGTTGATTTTAAATGAAAAAAAAAATTCAACTATATAGTTTTAGATCTCATCGAGAACTGTACTTTTGATATAGAGTGTCTCCATTTGAAAAATTCAAAAATCTAAGAACTTAATTTAAATATCTGGGTCCCTACGATTTCGAATAAAATTTTTACCAGTTATAAAGTTTCAGATCTCGTCGAGCTCTACAATTTTGATATAAATTTTGTCTTCAACCAACTTCTTTTAAAAAAGTTATGAATTTATTTGTACTCCAACTGTAGCCATTTCAGAGAGGAAGTCAGCTGCGCAAGCCCATAGAAATCACCTATTTTCGTAGGCGGTTGTATAAGCAACTGTGCCGGGAATCATATTTTTTAGGGTGGTTCTCTTAGGCCAGCCGTCCTTAATTGAAAATAGAATTTTAGAAACGGTTTACTTAATAGAACTCCTTTAAAAATGTATTTTCAGCTGTGATTTGTATGCTACAGTGCTCATGATGCTAGTTAAAATTGTTTGCCAAGTAAATTGTTCTTGAAAAAAAAAGATGCCTCTGTAAAAGACTTTTATGTAGAAGTGCACTACGGAGGAAACGTGTGCAAAGATTTTGAAAGGGGTATATATATAGTTAGACCTAATACAAGAATATTGTACATAATAATGTTGTTGCCCATCAAATGGTAGATGAACATGACTAGAGGTAGGTGCAGAATTAACTTATTAATTAGTCCATGCTGCATGGATGTTGACACTCAAAGAAATAAGTCAATATATGTTCGTAACAGGTGTCTTCCTAAGAAGATGAAAATGGCGACACGTACTTCATCCCTTAGCTAGCTAGTTTTTGCGTGGGGAAACCAATTTAAGAAATGATTTGGTGACGAACCCTTCCTACCTGATAAGCTCACTTTTGACAGATGCAAGCGAATGTAAAGATTAGTTACGGTAGTTATGCTACCATGACCAACTTCTTGACGAACCAACGCAACACCTCACAAGTCACAACCACATTCCACTCATGCGTCATGCACCCAATCCACTTTTTATCACTATATGTGTATATATAAACACACGAACGAGCACATCTGCAACGACGCATCGCATCAGCCAGCAAAGTAGAGCTCTCTATATATCGTGCACGGAAGCACAGAAAGAGAGAGATACGGTCGATATGGGCATGACGACGACGAGGCTGATGCTCACCTTGGCCGCCGCGGTGGCGATGCTGCTGCTGGCCTCGCCAGCGCCGGTGTCCGGGCAGCCCGGCATCGGCGTCGCGGGCGCCGTGTCGTGCACGGCGTCGCTGGTCACCAGCTTCACGCCGTGCCTCAACTTCATCACCAACGGCAGCGCCTCCCCGACCGACGACTGCTGCCGGTCCCTGGGCGCGATGACGAAGGCGAGCGCTGGCTGCGCCTGCCTCATCCTCACCGGCAGCGTACCCCTCGGCGTGCCCGTCAACCGGACGCTCGCTGTCACGCTGCCCAGGGCGTGCAACTCCACCTCTCTCCAGCTGCAATGCCGAGGTGATCGATCGATCGAGCTGAGCATGCACGACTAGCTAGCTAGCGTCCATTGCAGCATTGCTAAAGTATCAATCCTGTGATGATCTTGCTTGCAGACGCGTCGTCAGCTCAGAGCCCAGCTCCAGGCCCCGTCGCAGATGCGCCTGCGCCGTCCACGTTCATGGCCCCGCTGCGTAAGAACCTAGTTTTTCTTTCAGTTACGGTTTGTAGAAATGTTACTGATGAACGCCATGCATGGTTTCCTTCAAACTGGCAGCACCAGTGACGGCGGCAGCGCCGGAGCCTGAAGCGCCGGCGACAGCTCCACCTGTGGAACCCACGGCCACGGCGACGCCACCGATCAGCCAGGTACAGACGAAGCCGACGGTTGTGCCCAGCGCCGCCGGGAGAGCAAGCTCGGACGTGCCAGCGACGGCTGGGTTTGGACTGCTGCTTGCAGTTGGAGCTGCGCTGATGGCCTGATGTGAACGAATATTTATGTGATATATCCGTCCTTAGCAGTGGTTAGCTAAATAACGGAGCACTGGAGTGTCTTGGTGAATTTTATTAGCTGAGTATTTATTATTTGTTTGTTAGTAAATGGATGGTGTTCTGAATTGGCAGTACCTGTATATGTATTTTACCACATTTTTTTCACGTTGTTTGAGCCTTTGATCATCAGCTCTTGAGGAGAATAATGTACTGTTATGGTGGAACATATATATTTTGTATTGCCTTCACCAACAAATATTTTTGGAAAAAACATACGGTAATGCTGGGGCCACGAACGCTAAAAAAAACTCTCTACTGCGCTCCGCCTCCACCGCCCGTCCGCCTTCCATACTCCGCCTCCACCGAGCCAGTGAGCCTTCATGACGGATGCTCCAGCAACAACAAGCAGCCAAGCAGACGAGGGGAGGAGCTTCGTGTGACGCCACCCCGCCGGTGATTTGCCCGCGCCGCTGCCGCAACGTACAGTGAGCTCCGCGCTGCCGCCGACCTCTACGTCGGTGTCGAGCTCCGCAACGACTAGCCTTCATTCTCCCAAGCAGCAAGGTGATAGTGCGCTGAAAGCGCTTATTGCAAGCATATGTTTCAAGTGTTTGCTGCAAAAGTAGATCGGGATGTTGCATATGTTGCAATGGCTATACACATATGTTTCATCTATTTCAAACATACGTTGCAAGTGTTGTATTTGGATTGTGCAAAAGTAGATCTGGATGTTGCATATATAAGCAAGTGTTTTAGGTGTTTTCGTACGTATGCTACAAATGTTTCATCTAGATATTTGTGTATATTTGCAATATAATGGCCACACATATGTTTTCAAGTTTTTTCTGATGTTTTACAAGTGTTTCAGACTATGTTGTAAGTATTTCATCTAAATGTCGCAAAAATAGATATGGTGTTGCACATGTTGCAATAGGATCCACCTGTCGCAGCCGCCTGCTACAGCTGCTGGGGCACCGCCAAGTGGGGGCGTAGTTGGTCCCAGCATGCGGTTGGACGGCGCGGGCGACGTCCGGGCGGCACGGTCCCGCGTGGGCGCGAGAAACACGGTGCACACAATCCCGAAAAATATATATATTTTGTATTGTCTTCACCAACAAATAATTTTAGAAAAACAAAAAAAAGACAGCTACTTAGTTCTCTACTACATGCACTCCCTACCAAGGGTTGGTCGGGCCGACTACGTGGTGGACAAGGCAAGGCAATATATACAAGAAACAAATCCAATTTGTTGTAACCGACTAGAATTTATCAATAAACCAACTAGTAAACCAATCTGTAACCTAATCATGACCATATACAACTCTGTCCCCGAAATATATAAAGTGCCCTGTCCCCAGAATATATAAGGAGAAATAGAGAGCTCCCAATTGACATCCAACTTAGATCACATCCGATAGAGCATAGTTGGGATCGCCTACTCGCATCTGACACTAATGTCTAAACCAAAATATATCTGTGTCTCATGTGCTAATCTACTTCATGTGATAATCGATCACTAGTCGGAGGCTAAAAATACTAACACTAATGAATGTTTATCAAATCATTATCCAGTAAAACACTCACTACATTATCTAAAAAAAAGTAAAACACTCACTAAAATTGTTGAAAGATTATTGTTGTTGATAGGTTGAAAAAGAAAACGTTAAAATGCTTGAAAAACAAGGCAAAACCCTACATCGATCGGTTAATTTAAGAAAACCGGGTTAAAACAGCAACAATCTACCTAGCTAAACTAGGACTCACAACCAACAAATAACAAGCCCCGACACAAAGGTGAAATGAGGCATAACCACTTATAGCAGCAGAAGACAAAGACACAACATTAGACGATTCTAATACCATTATGGTATCGCCTTGCAATTCACTAGCCACAACAGCTTCTTTGACCACGCCTTCAAAGATGGATATGACGTCAGGGATGTCACGGCCGCCGGCCTTGGTGTAAACCAGGCAAGGCTTTTGCCCAAAGTCCTATGCCAAGAAGGAATAACCTGGGACATCCCTATTTTACCACCATGGTTCAATCCAGCCCCAAAAAATGGGATGGAACCAAACCATCCTTTATTGATGTAGGAAACAACAATATCTCCTCAGTCTTTTACTAAGTAACAGAGCCCATAACACAACTTTTGTGTTCTGTATTCACCAGCAGAGAAAGATATAGTACAATTATGAGAAGCTTCGATGAATGTCATCAAGATCAGATCAAGCAGCAGCCTTTGCTTTCTTAGGAGGTGGATTCCCTCCAGCAAGAACAACATAGGAGTAGAAGCAGATCATAGCAGCACTGGTAAAACAAAAGATTATCAGAAGGGCAGTGCAGGATGATAGAGAAATGGCATATTAACATAACATAATTTAGACAAAGATGAGAGTAGTGGATTTCCAAAAAAGGAAAAAATAAAGGAGTACCTCAGTGCGACATAGAAGCCCCACGGAAGCAGATTCCTCGTCTGTAATGGAAGAGTAAGATTGATCAGAAAGCTAGTCCAAGTGGGGTCCTTGATAAACAAATTACAGTCTGACTTACAGTGGTGTACGCCTGGCAGTGCTTCCATGCTACCGCAGCGGCAATGCCTGCAAATAATTGTGCATAGCATATTAATTATCATAGGTTTACACATGCAGAACCTCAATTCAGCTTATGACAGCTGGTTAGCAGGACCAAATATTTACAGACACTATAATATTGCCTGCTCAGAATGCATTTAAGGAGATCTAGAGAATGTCAACTTGCATCGAAACTCTTAGCCCTGATTCAACAAAATCTGCTAAGATGATATGTTGCAGAAAATAAACTACCTGCTTGCGCCAATATGAACGGTAAACTGGACTTTCCACTCCTCCAAACCTTAAGGCTAAGTACAGCAAGGGCCAAGATAGCAAGGCCAGGTGCAACACCGAAAGTAAGACTCGCAGGGCTCCTCCGAAATAGAAATCCAATAAGGCCCATGGAGAATAAAAATCCACCTGAACAAGAAAATTTGTATTTTTAGAAATTTTCCTAATATTTTAGAGACAATATTGAATGGGTAGCATAGTATTGGAGAAATTAAGAAGCTCTCAAAAAGGTTGAGATATATAAATATTTCCCAATTAGATGTAATGATAAAATGTTCAGAAACTCCCTAAACCCCTATTTATTTAAAGATTTATTCAGGGGCATGGAAAGAGAGAAGAAATAGAAACAAACCATGCTGCTATATCAGTAATACTGAAGCAATAAGCAACTTCTACTTAAAGGTATTCACCCAAAAAATTGCTAGCTACAAAGCTGAAATCATACCAAAAGGTATCCCTAGGCAAAAGTCGTGTATCTTTGCACACTTCTGTTGAGGAGCAGCCTCCTGCACTGTATATTCATTAGCAGGTGCTACAATGGCTGGCTCTTCAGTTTCGCCACCTGTTTGCTCCGAGGTGGCTTCAGTTTCACCACCTGTTTGCTCTGAGGTGGTGACAGAATCAACAGGAGTGGTATAGTCTGCCTTCATGCACATTGTAGTCCACAGCTGCAGAGCAATACAGCAATGACATGAGAGGAAATATTAACCACAGAGATTAGGAGTACAAGAGGAGGAACATAAGAAGAGCACGTAAACATGCCGGATCTTTTTACTAGGAAAAATATGCTTCTACAAAAAGGAAGAGAACTAAGCTATTTGAATGGAAGCTACAGCACATATTCACGATCACAAACATATATTCATGGAGTTCAACAAAGCCTGTTTTCATGACAAATACCTTTTCGCTTTTATTACATGATGAAAGACACTGGCACCTAAACAATTTGATAAAATTCCAAGCATGGAGTGCATGAGATCTAACATTTGGCTTAGCTTCGAACTCATATAATCAATGTTAGCTTCACTAAGCGCCTAGCTTGAACCCAAAAGATCCAATATTCAAAGCCCTTCTGGTAATTAGGCTAAAGCAGTGTTTTGCAAAGAGATTATTTGGGTTGAAGCAGCATCCAATAGCATGATCAAACAACATATTTGCAACATCTGTTTATAGCAAAAGCAGGGAAGCTTTAATAGGTATTAAGGCCACTCATGACAACAACAGTTGAAAAGCTCAGATTCTGAAACTTAACTTCAGTAATGTAATACACGCCAGAAATACACTCTTAGGTATTAATCAAAGTTATTCAGCACCATAGGCACATGTTCATTTAAGAAACAGAGCAAACAAATGGTAAGGCCATAATGATAGAATAAACTGTGGTTCCCTGAACTCAGACCACCAAATAAGCACTGTTGTTCTTTTAGACTTTGGAACCTAGTTGAATAATATCATATATATATAAATATAACACAGATAAACAGAGCAAACAAATGACAGTGACACATGACAGTTCTGAATACTCTTACTGCAGCACAGATAAAAGGGCGTATCCAGTGCAGAGAGCTCCCGCTCTGTGCGGGGTCTGGGGAAGGGTGTCAGTGGCAAGCCTTACCCTCGCCTGTGCAATGCGAGAAGACCGCGACTCGAACCCGGGACCTTCCGCTTCCGGTCACAGGCGGTAATACTCTTACTACAGCACAGATAAGCTGAATAAAATAAAGAGCACACTTGTACAAAAAATTGATTGGACTCTATAGGATTCAGACAAAACACACACTACTAAAGTATTAAAGTAACTTGAACCACAAGCAATCATGTATAGTTGATGTTTAGATAACACAGTATAGTGGAAACAATACTTTACAAAATTCTTTTTTTTTTTGGAAAACGCGGGAGAGCTGCGTTTCATTGTATTATAGAGATGAAAAATAGGGGGGTCCCCAACAGGATCCGACTCATACGGGGACCAGATATGAGTGAGGCAATTACACAGCCTCATGGTTCAAACACATAGTGAACAAACACGACCCGACCTTAGCTAAAAAGACCTAGGTCTGCAAGCGCCAGTCCTAGCCCTTGTAGTTTCTTCGCCCCAGCCATGCACTTGAGGCTGTGCTCATTCTTCAGCTCACTCCAAATCATGATAATCGAAGGAGAAGCCCCCTCAAAAACACATGCACTTCGGAAATTTCATCATGATGGGGATAGATCGTTACAAAATTCAGATTTAAAGAACAAATACTACAAAAACTGCACATGAATACAGCGCTCTGAACAAACAACGCAGAAAAGATTCAGTAACTAAACCCACAATTATATCTGGGTAATTCTAGTGAGATCATTGAAAACATGAGACAAGGACACTACTGCATACAGGAACAGCTCTTATAGCAGTCCAGTTAATTGTATTGGCACAGGGAACAGAAGTTCTGAGTTCTGACAAGTCGACAAGTTGAACCTACAGACTCATTTTGAGTTGAAAGTTTGTCCTTTATTAATATCTACAGCAAGTTGAAAGGTTTCTCTTTCTTGTGAGTGGATCCACAGAAAAAAATTGGAGATAAAACTGAACCACTTTACAAGTTGACATGGTAAATCAGGATAAATCAAGGCTGGGCGACCCCTCCTGCAAAAGACAAGGAATGTGTCCCCTGGGAACTATCACAGCAACAAAGATGGATTCACCATGCTCCACGGCATTGGCTTCATAGCTTCCAAAGCAGCCATGGCAACAATGGGAGTGACAGTGCAGAACTGTGGAAATATTGAAGCCATAAAAAATAGCTGCACTTATAAAGAAACTGGGGTAACAATTTCAATTTTTTATCTGTTTATTTTGCCAGGGTTTGTTAAGTGAAAATATTGATAGGAAGTTCGATTTTTTATCTTGTGAATTTCCTACTTTGGATTTTTTAGCTACCTCTACTACCCAACCAGATCTATTTTAGAAATGTTCATGATTCATTGATTGTTCTTGGTTGCTAGTATCAGGAGGGGTGAATTAAATAGACAATGGTTTTGCAACTGAGGGAGTATAGGAGAATGCTTTAGGAAAATTTTCTGTTACTACCTTAGTCTCTAGAATGATCAAGGGGGCAGGAAGATCTAGTGTCAGTGAATACACGGGAATGACTTGTTGAAAATTGGCATAGAATGGGACAGGAATAACACTAGTACAGGTTACATGAGTTTCAGAAAAGAATCATAATTCATAAATTGAACTTTCTATCAATATATTCACTCAACAAACCCCAGCAAATAAACAAATAAAATTTTGTTAAGTGCAGCTATTTTTGATGGGTTTCAACATTACAAAAACTCTGCACTGTCACTCCCATTGATGCCAAGGCTGCTTTAGAAGTAGAGATGCCAAAAGGTAATTCCCGTCGGGGAACGCTTTCACATCCCCGTCCCCGCGGGGTAAGACTGGCCCCGTACTCGTCCCCGCGAACATTCCCCCGTCCCCGTCCCCGCGCGGGGTCCCCGATTCCGTCTTGCCACTGCTATCTACCGCGGGTCCGCCTCCACCTCCTCCACAGCTACCTACCTTGCAAGCCGCGCCCCACCGTCGCCGTCGACAGATTCAAGCTTTCCATGGCTGGGAGATACAGATACCCCGAGCTGGGCTGGGTTCGTTGACTGGACTGACCTGTGAATCTGAGGATGAGCTCCGCGACGAGGACAGCCATCGCGGTTCAGGGCCGCCGCATCGAAGTTGCCCACCTGGGATCCTGGATCTCGTTGCGGCTCGGTGGATGGAAATGCGCGGACTTTGATCTTGGGCTCCTGCCTCCTGGGGCAGTGGCCGCCGCCAAGCCTCAGGTGGCAGATGGGTGCGCAGCATCGGCGGCAGATAGGTGGGTGCGCAGTAGCTGGCAAGCCCGGCGCTCGGCGGCGGCTATGCGGACTTTTTCGCGGGCGGGCGGGCGGCGTGTCGCGTGTGAGAAGACTGAGGAGCGGCGACTGGGAGAGAAGAGAAGGGACGGGTGTCTGTCTTGGGGAGAAAGAGTACACGGTTGACTCTGCACTTCCACTGTGGGCTCAAACTAATGCTGGGCCTTATATTCTCGGGCCCAAAAGGGCACCCGTAGGGGAAATTCAAAAATCACGTGACTGTAAGGCTGACTTATGGGCCCTTCTTGGATAAAAACTATTACTACTTTTTTGAGATTAAAGCAATTACTACTATTTTTTAACCTGATTTGGAATTTCTTAAAAAGGATTTATAGAGATGACTCTGTATTCGGTCGCTCCTATAAAAACAATTTACAGAGACGGCTGAAAATAAGAGTCGTCTATGTGAATCCATTTGTAGAGATAAATATAAACAGGAGCCACCTCTACAGCTTCTATAGTGACTTTTTTTTGTAACTTCCACTATAGGGACTTTTTGACAGCCTCTATAAACGTTTTGTGCAGTAGTGATATTACACCTTAGATGTCCGCTAACAACTACCCATTATATATTTGTGTTTGTAGTGGGATCTCAAAAGAATGGCCTTTTGTTGCTTGTTGTTAATTAACACATTCAAGATTTCGAACTTTGAAACCCCCAATATAAATTTGTATTGATTTTTTAAATTGGTAGGAGTATATGAAAAGTATCATTTAATTATATTAATAGTTAGTACCTGTTTAGTTCCCAAAATTTTGCAAAATTTTTCAAGATTCCCCGTCACATCGAATCTTTGGACGCATGCATGAAGCATTAAATATAAATAAAAAATAAAACTAATTACACAGTTTAGACGAAAATTCACGAGACGAATCTTTTAAGCCTAATTAGACTATGATTAGACACTAATTGCCAAATAACAACGAAAGTGCTACAGTACTATTTCCCAAAAAAATTCGCCAACTAAGTGCGTGTTTAGTTGGTGAAATTTGGGATTTTGGGCTACTGTAGAACTTTCGTTTTTATTTGACAATTAGTGTTTAATCATGGACTAATTAGGTTCAAAACGTTCGTCTCGTAATTTCCAACCAAACTGTATAATTAGTTTTTTTTTCGTCTACATTTAATGCTCCGTACACGTATCGCAAGATTCGATGTGATGGGTACTGTAGCAATTTTTTTGGAATTTGGATGGAACTAAACACGCGCTAAACAAGGCCTTAGTGTAAATATGAAAAGGCAAACAGCACCCCCTTAGCAGTGGAGCCCATGCCCCATGCCACACAGGACGCCAGAACCGGTCAAATTCAGAGCCAGTCAATCGGCACACGTGTCTTCCCTGGCAGCTGGATGTGACGGTGACGAACCCTGCCTACCCGGACCGTCCGTCTCACGTGTCAATCAGCCAGAGAATAGTGGAGATTAGCTGAGGTAGTTATGCTACCCTAACCGATTCCCTAACTACCAGCATACGACGCCGATCGATGCAATGCAAGCATGCATCACTTTAAATGCAAAGCACTTTTGCAACAACGACGCATCACTGCGACGAACTGCAAGGCCTTGTTTAGATTGTGAATAATTTCAACCCGATGAATAGTAGCACTTTCGTCTTATTTGGTAAATATTGTCTAATCGTGGACCAACTAGGCTCAAAAGATTCATCTCGTGATTTTCAACTAAACTGTGTAATTAGTTTTTTTTTTTACCTATATTTAATACTCCATGCAAGCGTCCAAAAATTGATGTGATGGAGAGAGAGTGAAAAAACTTGGAATTTTGATGTAAACTAAACAAGGCCCAAGTCTGCATTCTGCAAGCAGCAACACGATCGATCGACTCGTGTTGTCTTGTGCCGGTCGTCAGGGGCGTGAGAATTTAAGCAGCTAGCCAGCCTACTAGCCGAAGCAGCAGCAGCAGCAGCAGATCGATCTCGATGGGACTGATGACCACGATCAGGCTGCTGGCGGCAGCCGCGCTGGTGACGACGGCGCTGCTGGGCCCACCGATGGCGTCGGGGCAGCCGGCGGCGGCGTCGTGCACGGCGTCGCTGCTCACCAGCTTCACCCCATGCTTCAGCTTCCTGACCAGCAACAGCAGCAACGGGTCTCCGCCGACGCGGGAATGCTGCCGGTCGCTGGCGACGCTGGTGAACGCCAGCACGGGCTGCGCGTGCCTCGTCCTCACGGGCGCCGTGCCGCTGCCGGCGCTGGGCGTCCCCATCAACCGCACGCTCGCCGTGTCGCTGCCCAAGACATGCGACTCCATGTCCGTCCCGCTGCAGTGCCAAGGTAACGTCCGTCGTCCTGCGTGCACGCACATCCGGGACCGAGACGCATGCGGACGATGCTAACCCGTTGCTGTGCTTTGCATGCAGACACGTCGTCGGCTCAGAGCCCGGCTCCAGGCCCCGTCGCAGACACACCCTCCACGCCCGCGTCGACGCCAGAAGCTCCGGCGGCGCCTACCGTGGATCCCACTGCGACGGCACCGGTGAGCCAGGGGCAGACGAGGCCGATGGTGCTGCCCAGCTCCGCCCGGAGAACAACCAGCTCCCACGTCGCCGCGGCGCCGGCGCTGGCGCTGCTGCTCGCCGTTGCGGCCGCGCTAGTGTGATCGCGCGCGGCGGGGAGACCTACTAGCTGCGCATTGAAAGATCTTCTTTGTTCCGGTGGAGTGTGTTGGTGCAGTGGTGCTTGATTGTTTGCCTGAGAGTGTGGTTCACAGATTTGTAGTACTGTAGTACATATATTTGTTTGCGATTGAAGGCTCTAGTATGTGTGTAAACAATATATACTGCATTCTTTCAGCTGGCTTCCTGACCATGGGTTGAATAATTAACTTTGACGTTGCAGTCTCATGGAGTCTGTTTCATCGTAGCTTTATATATGCCCTGTGCTGATAAGGTATGGCCGAAAATACGGTTAGCTGATTTGTTGTGAGAGAAAAATATTGTTCGTTGGCTGAAAAAGTACGGCTTATAAGCCAAGCGAACAAGGCGACAGACGATAATGATTAGAACAATTCTATCTGCTCGTCCAGAATGCTCCAGTCGCCGCAGCAGTCTTATCCACCACACCATCTGACCTCCGCGTCGACTCCACCGTGCCGCCCGGCCGCCGCTCACCTTCTCAAGCACGGGGTCGCTCGCTGCTGGCAGCGCAGGCGCCCGGCGCTGCTGCCTCCACTGCGGGGGCGCCTCGCCGCAGGAGACCGCAGCTGCCCGCCCGCTGGCATCTCTCTCTTCCCTCCCCCTTCTACTCCGCGGCATCGAGCTTCGCGTTGACGAACCTCCATTTTGTCCAAGTAGCAAGTAAATATTGCGCTCGAAATTAAAGAACATGTTGCAAGCGTTTGTTTCAAGTGTTTCAGATGTTGCAAGTGCTTCAAATGGAAGTTGCATATGTTGCAATACTTGTACAAGTATGTTTCAAAGCTTCTGTTTCCAATGTTTTATCTGTTTTTCTAGACGTATGTTGCAAGTGTGTTTATCTAGATATGACATATGTTTCACACATATATTGCAAGTTTTTATCTAGATGTTGCGTTTGTTTGTAATGGTTTCAAGTGTTTTTTGAAGTGTTTCAGATGCATGTTTTAAGTGTTTCATCTATCTTCGGACGTATGTTGTAAGTGTTGCATCTGGATGTTTTAAAAGTAGATCGGGTGTTGCATCTCCCTCCTCGCCTTTTACTACCTCGCCTCGGTATCTCCTTCTCCCCGTGCCGGCTGGGCATCCGATACGACGTCGCGATCGGGCACACCGTGGGTCCTTTCGAACCAGAGGCGCAGGCGGGCACCACCCCCTCCCCTTATTCTCGATGCTAGTGACGTTCGGGTGGCGTAGGCCCTCATGTGGGGCGCGTGAAACAGAGTGTAGGTGCGGGCGTCCGACCGGACGCCCGGACGCTAGCACTGCCGTTTTACAAAAGCACAACGCATGACTTTTTTGTAGGAGTTCAAAGCGAACTTGTGCCGTGCGCAAGGCCCTTACCCGAACCTACAGAGCCACGAATCAAGCTTCCAGTTCACCTACCCTAGGCGTCCGAAGTAGAAATCTTGGACAAGAATGGGTCCTTTTGGGTTGGGGCCCGGGGATGGGAGGGAGGGGGGTGCTGCTGATGACGAATTCCTCGTCCAATTTACCTCCGAAATCGAAATTTCGACACATGTGTCCTCACCCCCACATACCCGGAGACCCCGCACCTGATTTGTACATCCCTTTCTGATGAGGTGGAATGGAATTGTCCAATTTCACTTTTTGTATGTGTTTGTTTTGGTATGAAAGAGGGAAATAGCTTTCAAATGAGAAAATTCATGCTACACGAGAACGTTATTGCTTCACTTAGATCCCGAGAATGATAGTAGACCGGCCCGTGTCTAAAAAACACGGATGGAGCCACCATGTCCTTAAAAACAAATGTTCGGCTGATAGTTTTTGCGGCTGATAAGCCGGCTGATGCTGTTTTGTTATAATAGAAAAATATTGTACCATGGCTGATAAGCCGGGCTGGTAAGTTCAAGTGAATAGGGAGGTAGTGCAGTGCACCATAAGACTACCCTAAACCCTAAACCCATCTTCACCATAACGAAACACTACCTATCATGTCAGTGGCGGCAAAAACCTCCCCCGAGAACGCAAGTGGTAACACGAAGGCAGAGAGGTGGTGCAGTGTACCATAAAACTACCCACTGTCTTGCTTTTTACCGATCATTACTACACAAATGATTTTACAAGGCAGTGCACTTTTATTAACCGAGGCGGGCGTTTTTATTTACGAAGTCGGTCAAAAA